GTTAGACACTCCTAAAAGTTCCTGCTTTTAGGATTGCGTCTTGGTTGCACACAATCCTAAATCGGATGCGGGAATCCAAAATGTGAAAATGGCGTTAGGACTCGTCCTAAAAGATTTAGTATTCCCCAGCCAAATCATCCTAAATTTTCCAGTAGCCCCGGATCTTCAAAAAAATTTAGGATTCCAGCATTTCACGGAGTTGTCGCGTCGCGAGAATGGTACCGTCGACACGGAGGCGCTGGTCCAGGAGAGGTCCGTCGGGTCGGTGGGCGGACATTGGAGGTTTTCTGCCGGTCGACGACGTTAACGGCCCCCACCAGTAGCCATTGGCCGGTGGGGTGGAGCGCGCGGGGCGAAGTGTGGCCAGGCGGGCGAGGCGGGCGGTCGTTGTGGACCGTTGGCTTGGGTGCGGGCAATGGAGGAGTCCCCAGACGTCCCCCGCAAGGCGACGACACGTCCGTAGGTGAAGATGCGCCGAGCAAGAAGATGCACCGCGTGCCTCTTAACTCCCGCGTACAGCAAAGCTGGTTACCCACCGCGAAGGGGTCGTCACTGCTGTCTCTTGTACGTCACACACGTCGCCTGCCCGTCCTCCAGCCCGCCAGCCTGCGCCCGCCAAAATTCGAATTTGAAATTTTGAAGGTCTCGGCAAACGCGCGCTTCACCAACCCATTGGCACCCGCCCAAGGGCCACCGCAGTCTGGACCACGGACACCATCCAGGACTGGACGGACATCGGCGACGCGGCTGCGTATACGTATATGAAAACGGGCCGCGGGAAACCTTTTAGGACGATTCCTAAAAGACGATTTTTAGGACTGCGTGTAACGACGCCGAGCGAAATCCTGAAAAACCTTTAGGACTCGTCCTAAATCTTTTAGGATTCTTTTAGGAGTGTCTAACGAGACCATAAATAAAATATAAAAAGAACATGTACGTTCTATATTTGGGGTTACTTCTGTGTGACTGGAAACCCAAAACAGCAGCACCCTGATGGCACGGTAGCCACCGTGTCTTTAGGGAAATGGGAACGCGGTGTGACCTGAAACTTCCCAAGGGGCTCGTTCGACACTCCTCGGGCCCGTAAAGTCCCCGAGGAATTGCTCGTTCCACTTATCCTCGGGGTGGCAGTCAGAAAAAAAAAAGTGAAAACACTCCGAAGGAAATTCCTCAGGCTCCGAGGATTCCACAGCCATTTCTCCCTTTTGCCCAAGGGGAAAAGGAATCCGCGTTTCACGGAGAGGAGCGGGCACACGCGTAGAGAGACGTTACAACCGAGAATCTGGATCGTGGCAGCTTCTTATTGGCTGAAGGCCTTAAGCACATTTGTTTCTTTTTTTTTTTCCTTTTTTCTTTTCTGACATCGCTCCACGGAAATGTCCTCGGGCGACGTCCCCGAGGACAGGTAGAACGAAGGGCCCAAATTTCCTTTTGACTAAAAGGAATTTTTCCTCGGGCTCCGAGGAGGCTCCAAGGAGTGTCTAGCGAGCCCCCAAATACCCCAATTCGGCCCAACCCATTTTCGCAATTTATACGGATTTGCTACCGCAGTGTCCCGAAGACGATAAAAAGGAAGCGGCCAGGGGACGGCCGGTAGCACCAGGGATAAAGCGGACCAATCCCCCGTGCAGGCTCGAGGGGCCGTAAAAACACGGCTCTGGTATGCTACGGTTTTCCCAGTATGGCTATAAGTAGGAGTAGAGGTAGGTAGGTAGTGTGAGGAAAAAAATTGAGAGAAGAGTATAGTTAAAAAAAAAGAAAAAAAGAAAAAAAAAAAAAGAAGCGAAGAATTAAAAAAAAAGGGAAAATTTGTCTGGCGCCCCTGTATTTCGCGATAATTCGCGTCGCGCCCCTCCGACGGCCGGTTTACCCTGTTGCACCCCTGGGCCAAAACATATTTTCGGCAGGCCCTTGTCTGTAGTGACCGCAACTTTCCAGGACGCCCTCCTTGGACTGGCGGTCCCATTTCCGTCGGGCCCTGTGCCATATGCCCTCATGAGGGTTTACCGTCTTTCTGCAATGCCCCCGCAGCCGTGAGGCGCCAGAAATCCGAATTTGATTTGAAACTGGGTCCTTCTTGACGCGGCCACTACGTTGTTGTGCCGCAGAGAAGCTGCTGCATCCCTGTACTCCATCTCCTCGTTCTTCATATCTTCCGCTTCCCTGCGAGTGCCTCTGTGTGTGTGTGTGTGTGTGTGTGTGTGTGTGAGAGAGAGAGAGAGAGAGAGAGAGAGAGAGAGAGGGTGAGCTGTCTCTCTCTCTCTCTCTCTCTCTCTCTCTCTCTCTCTCTCTCTCTCACACACACACACACACACACACACACCCGCATACATATTCATCAATTTCGTAATGCATGTGGCGCTGTCAATGATCCCTATACATTCAAAATTTGCTGGTCGAATGAATGGGGTCCGTCGACTGCGCCACATGCATCCACAGTTTTCACTGTTTGTCCA